TAATGTCCTTAATATGTCCCTAAAGGAAAAAATCGCAAATCAAGTCCGCAGATCTCGCGTTGAATGCTGTGTCGAACATGATGATTAAAATTTCGAGCAATTTATGCGTTAATAAATCTTTCGTGAAAAAACATTTTTTAAACCTCATTGACATTCCAAACCACGTTTGGAAATATTAGGACCTTAACTTAGTTTCCGCCCGCAAATGTTAGATGGCAATGCAAACAGTTCTAGTAGTCATTACTAACGAAACAGGTAGTTTGTGATTAATTTCGACATTTCTCGATAACATTCAGTCAGCATACACAATTATTTTCCTAAACAACAATTTCTTTTGCTTTGTGAAAAATGGAACGCGATAAAGTGTTTTTTCGACATGTGCTTTTGCACTATTTTGATTTGAAAAAAAGTGTAGCAGAAGTTCATCGATTACTTGAAGAAGGTTATGGTGATCGAGCTCCATCACATACAACATGTAAAGAGTGGTATAGACGATTCAAAAGTAATGATTTTGATGTCAATGACAAACCACGCTCAGGACAGCCAAAAAAATTCCAAGACGATGAATTGCTAGCATTATTGCATGAAAACTCGGCTCGAACGTTACAAGAACTTGGAAACGAGCTAGGAGTTACTGAAGCAGCTGTTTCCAAACGTTTACACGCCATGGGAAAGATCCAAAAGGAAGGAAGATGGGTACCACATGAATTGTCTGAAAGTGCCATTCACAACCGTTTCAATATCACGGTTTCGTTGCTTGCCAGGCAAAAAAAGAAGAGTTTTCTGTGGCGTATTGTGACTGGCGATGAAAAGTGGATCTACTACGACAATCCCAAACGCAAAAAATCATGGGTAGACCCAGGACAACCATCAACATCGCAGCCAAAACGGAACATCCACGGTCATAAGGTAATGCTTTGCATTTGGTGGGATCAGCAAGGAGTGCTGTACTACGAACTGCTGAAACCAAACGAAACTGTTACTGCCGATGTCTACAAATGTCAATTGAACAAATTGAATGATGAGCTGTTGCGAAAAAGACCAGCAATAGCGAGTAACAGGCGCAAAGTTATTCTCTTACACGATAACGCTCGGCCACACACTGGAAAAACCGTCAAAGAAACACTGACGCAGCTCGAATGGGAAACTCTTCCTCACCCAGCGTACTCACCAGACATAGCGCCTTCTGATTACCACTTGTTCAGATCGATGCAGCACGGCTTGAGTGGTACACGCTTCCGAAATGTTGAAGAAGTGCGAGAATGGGTGGACGAATGGATTGCTTCGAAACAAACATCGTTTTATCGAGATGGTATCGCCCAGTTGCCAGAAAGATGGCAAAAAGTTGTAGAAAGTGATGGAAAATACTTTCATTGAAATAATTTAAATAAATTTTTTACAATAAGTGCTTTTTCTCAGTATTTTTTGGGCGGAAACTAAGTTAAGGTCCTAATACTTATAATCCAACTTACTACTTTTATATTTAAGATGTCGATTATCTCGTAAACGATGTATATTAGCAGTTTTTTACTGGATATGATTTTAATTGCAAATTATCTCTACTGTGTAAATATGTGAAAAAAAATTATAGGTATCCATTTAAAAAAAACTACGTTGATCTTCATAACTCGAAAAGATCACGAGTAGAAAAAATTTTTACATGCATTTTGTAGCTGACTAAGAGCCATGTAAATTTCGCTTATTAAACTTTCTTGTAACTTCAACTAGTTACGAGATATTTGCTCGGGCATTTGTGGACGGACACCCTGTATATTAAAATTTCACATTTTCGTCTCTTCACTTCCGCGATCGCGGAAGAGTGCGAAAACGAATCAGCAACTATTTAAAAATCTTTCGCTTGTTCATCACTCGTTCCGTGATTTGTATAGCACGACATAAATGACCAAAATTCCAATTACAATTCGTTTTATTTGTTTTAGTTGGCATGAGATGGGTCTGTACGATACACCTGCTATGATAGACTACATATTGGAATATACCAGCCAGAAAAAACTATTTTACATAGGCTTCTCTCAAGGAACAACGCAGTTTTGGGTTACGATGTCTCTCATGCCGGAATACAATGAAAAAATTAAACTTATGTCCGCCTTAGCTCCGGTTGCTTACACGGGACACATCACTGGTCTGTTGAAAACCCTCAGTTACCTTGCTTATTTTTTCAGGGTAAGTAAGGATTGAATGGCATTAATTTCTTACAATTCGAGTACTTAGGTAAGAACCGCCAGTAAACACCAACTATCAATGACATAACATCAATGTTATAATTTCCCACTCAATAATATAACATAATTCCCCACTCAATAATATACAATGTAACATATATGTTAAGTGACAATGACATATTGTTGAGTGAGAAACTATAACATTAATGTAAGATTACTGCTAAATGATACTTACTGAGAAGGAAAAATGTAAGTAATCAGAGTAAAATTTTCCAAAAAATAAAGTATTTTTCCAAAACATTCTCCAGTTTACACATATGTTGAGTAAGTAATTGCATTATCATTATCTTTCCACAAACATATGAGATTATAAATTGTATTATCATTTATAACAAAAAATAAGTACATCTACTTGTGTAATAAATCACTTAGCCTGAGAAAGATTACGTTTCTACTGTCAGTCTTAAAATGTGAGTTGAAGTAGATTTCAAAAACATCCGAAATATACATACATTCAATGTTTTTGTATTTATTATACGTTGTATTGTATTTATTATTTATTATTCACTCGATTTGGCAGGGATTATACAAGTACACTGGATACTTTGAGCTTTTGTCAAGTACATTCCTAATGAAACGGATGTCGTATGCTATATGCAGGAAAGGTGTAATAACTCAGCCTCTCTGCGAGATATTAATCTATTTGGTTGGCGGTTTCAGCAAAGGTGAATTTGATCACGTAAGTTATGAACGTAATAAAGAACGTAATAAAGAATAGACGTATGAAAGACGTATGAAAGAACGTAATAAAGCGATGAATCGGAAACCAAATGATAGATTCCGATTCGCTCTTGAACGAGAGCGATTTCACCGATTATATAGCGCGTTGCATATTTTTAGGTGGATGTGGGGAAGTTTTTGCAATTCACTCCCGCGGGATGTTCGTTTAAACAATTAGTCCACTATGCGATGGGTGTTCAAAATCCAGGTATCGATTCGTGATTAATCGCGTGCTCTCGAGAACGAGATTTTTCGATTCACCATGCGCGCGCACTCGCGCGATTTACGTGCACAATTTTCCTTAGATAGATAAATTGGTCTCTTTTGCAGGACATTTTCGATCCTATGATTACGGCATGTTGTCGAATATTAGGAACTATAGGCGAATTGTACCGCCTGAATACCCTGTGCACAAAATTACAGCCCCGATAGTCCTGTACGTCGGTTTGAACGATTGGCTGGGTCATCCAAAGGTAGATCAAGGCGTTTGCTCAATTTTCCTTTATCACAAAAGATCATAAATCATTAAATCGATCGTCTAAACAAAGGAAACAGATCTCCGCGATCATCCACTGGATTTGGTATTTTATTTTGGTGTAACATATCATAACATTTTAGGATGTTGAGATATTGAAGAAAAAATTGCCGAATCTTGTGGAGGAGTATACGGTGACGCTAAAGAAATTGAATCACTTTGACTTTCTGTTTGGCCTGCACATACGAGATCTTGTTTACGAACATGTAATTGAAAAGATGAACTCCATTCCATAAGGGTAAGAGATTATCGGATTTTCGTTTGTCGCACTGTGAATTATGAGCAATTTTATTTAATTGTGATTTGCGTGTTCTAGATTAGTGATCAGTGATTCCAGTCCGATTTCCCTTTACCCGCAAAGGCTACATTGCGAACGCGCAGAGCCGTCGTGGGAAGGAGAGACACGGTTACTTCGACTGATCTTCTCGCATTGCGTAACTTTATCTCGTGTCCTTCTCACATGTAATCATATAAACTTTGTACGTTGTCCGCTCGTGCATCGTGTACAGCATTAATCAAGATATGACGATGCTGTCTTTTTCTCTCTCTTTTTCTGCTCTTTTGCTTTTTATTATTATAAGAAAAAAAGAGAGAAACCTCTGCGCATAATCGATCGATATTTATATATATAGCCTTATGTGTATCATTATTTATTGTACCATGCAGTTTTATACACTATTTAAGAAGATTGAATGTGATATATTCAAAATATGTAACTGTATACACATTGCGCTGATACGTTGACGAACTGAATCATAGTGAAATCGTTGAAGCCGAGTGGAAGCCAGTGGAAGATGCTGAAACAAAATAAGATTTCTAGGACTCCTGGTTGAAATACAGGCGCTCGTAGCACAGTCAATCTACATGATCATCGATCAGTGATCTCGGCAGAATATTCTTTTTTTTTAACATTGTTCTTTTCTTTTCCTCTTAGCAAAATCCGAATTTACTTTTTCGATTCTTAAGTCGTTTGTGTTAGAAGTACAAATTGATTTGTTTGTCGATTGAATACAAATTCATACACCCTATTCACTGCTTTCTGAGTTCAATATGTTAGTACAATATAATTACATAACGCTTACTTGTAAATATATATTTATATATATATATATATAATTATATTAAAATATGATAAATTAAATTGGGTGATAGTCTGAGTTTGTCGCGTAGTTTACTGTACAAAACTTATTTCTATCTGTGAGTCTATAACTCTGATATCTAAAACTTGGTTGGAAGATTAAGGCTTATTCTCGTGCTTGCTTTAATTTACCAGACTTTACAGACAAGGTAAGGAAAATGAACGGTCGTTCGTTATTTACAATTTTTTTTTTACAAATGGCCTATTCAAAGTCTTCTGGCGAAAAAACAGCTAGACGTTCAAACTATGCTATTTTAAAATTTTTTTCATTCTGTGATTTACATTTCCAAAGTATTTCAGGTATCGGCGCAATGTTACTATAAAATACGTCATTCATGTATTACATTGTCTTATCACATGAATTGCACGAGTCAACTGTAGACTTGGACTTGGATCAATTATGAACGCCGTTAGACATAATATTCAAAAAGAAAAAGGAAGGGAAGAACCGATTAGCTGCCATATTATGTTTCGATAAATCTATTATCAATAAACGGAGTTAGTTGAAACAAACAAAGATTCGATAAGAATTTGATATCTCAATACCGAAAAAGTGGCAAAAACAGATTAGAAATAGAAATTTTCTTAAGAATGCATCGTTCAATTGATAAAAAATTATCACTGGTAATATCTTGATAAGTTTTGTATGTATATATGTTAAATTAAATATAACACACACACACACACACACATATACATATGTATATATATCTATAAAATGTATTCGATAAAAAATCCTTATGTTAAATGTATGATTCAATTTGGCGAACAAACATAAGGATTCGTGTGTACATGGTATACAAACTCAACGACTTTATATCTACTTCAATTTTCTTCAACTATTTTCCAGGAATTCCTCCATGGAAAATTAGTGCAAAAAGAAAAGAATTAGCAGAAACTTTATATCTTATATCTTATTGCCTTGGTTTGTTTCAGTCTGTTACGCTGACATTACAGATGACGATATAAAACTAATGACAGCCAATTTTTTATAAATGTATCCTAACGAATCTAATCTTGATGTCGCATTATGCTGCTCTCACCTCTTACAGCTAAATCATAATGCACCTATCACACTTTTCATAGTGCAACTTAAATGTAGTTGAGTAAACTTTTATTTGTAGGTGTTTAAGTTGCTATCGCTAAATCCTCGAAAACTATTGAGCAGACTTCACTATTTGTCAGAGTTATCCATTTTGTAATAACAAATTGTCATGTATTTTATATATATTTTTCTAATAACGCGCAAAGCATGAATTCTACCAAACCAAGATACGTAAAAAGAGAAATAAAAATGTAAGACATCCATTGTCTTTTTAATTATTTATATTTTTAGTAAATATAAGAAAATAAATATATAATATGACAAAATAAAAAAAATTATAAAAAACTATGAATATAAAACAATTTGTATGAGTACCATAGTTATTGACTTTCGACTAAATAATCTAAGTTAAATAATCTGAAATAACTGATCGCATTCTGGAAATCCCAATTTCGTTTATGTATAAAGTACATAAGTACTTCTATTACTAATATCACCTCTGTCATACTTGTAAAATTAAAAGAGAAAAAAAAGAAAGAAAATAGAAAAATACAGTGATATTCCTGCAAAAAATATATCTGGAGTGAACAAAATATATCTTCGAAGTTCCCTTCCTTGTCTAAAAAAAAATGTAAAAAAGAAAAAAGAAAGAGGAAAACACACATCTTCCATCACTATGTACAAGCGGCGAGCTTATATACTGTTCTTACGAAACTGGTTAAAAGGCTATCAGAATGAATGTACATACAACCTTGGCTCGAAGTGAGGATCAGACTCAATTCCTGTACCGATGTGACGACTTCTTACCATCGCGATGGCCCGACTTGGATCGCGATTTTCTACTGCGATCCCGCGACCTCGATCGGCTCCGTCGCCGGCTCCTGGAAACATAAGACCTCGACCGTCTGCGCGAACCCCTCGAGCGGCTGCGCGACCTCTCGCGACCGCCGCCGCGCGATCTTGAACGAGATGCCGCGGTCGTTCTTCTTCGCTTCGTGTGCGACTTGCTGCGAGACCGACTTCGCCGTCTGTCTCTATCCCTGGACCGCGAACGGGATTTCCTTTTGCCACGAGAACGAGAGCGCGACGACCATTTTCTGCTGGCGGTGGTGGTGGACGCCGATCTGGAGCGCCGGCTGCGGGAGCGCGAGCGCGACTTGGCACGCTTGCGATTGCGCGATCGCGACCGATGCTTCCTATCGCCGACGCCGTCGCCACTGGACCTGTGATTGCTGGAGGATCGTGAGCGGTAATTCTTGCGCGACTTGACCGCCGATCTCGAGCGTGATCTTCGCTTGCGGGAACGACCTTCAGACGAGCGTGATCTAGACCTTCTAGAGGACTCGTTCCGCGACTTGCTCTTGCTTCTGCTCCTGGACTTTCGTCGTCGATGGTCCCGCTCACGTGATTGCTGCCGTTGCTGCTGCTGTTGCTGCTGCTGTTGTTGCTTAGCCGAGCGTTTATTGTTGGTCTTCTTGGCGGACTCGCGACTACTCGACTCAGAGCTGCTCGTGGAGTCGGAGCTACTCGACTCGGAATCGGCCGATCCCGAGACAGTGCTGTTAGCTTTCATCACGTTGTCGGCCGGCGCATTATTCTGCGTCGCCGCTGCCGCTGTCGCTGTCATCGCTTGTGGACTTTGGCCATCACTCGACAAAGTTTCGGATGCTTCTCTCTGATTATTTATGGTTTCTTTTTCATCAACTAAAGTGTGACGTGACGAAGTTACACTCGATTGCTCAGCGCCCGCATACAATTGTGTTGTCTGTCAAAACATACCTGACTCTCTGCAGCTAGTATTACCGGTATGATTTTCCTGTTGCTTATTATACTGCTCCTCGTAACGCTGCTCTTCCCGTTCATCCTCCTCGGCGAGCCGCGCCTCGATCTCCTCCTCAGTCTTGCGGAACGCCTGCTGACGCCGTCTTACAGTTTCCTACGATATTCATACGTGGAGTATCTATTTTGCTTGAATCGCATACTTGAATTAAACGAAATAGTTAATGAAAGAAAAGAGATAATTGGAATGTAACACAGGACGTCGAATGCGAGAAACGAAATAGAAATGCGTGCTCTTCGTTGAATAATTCGTCAAAGCGCTCACCATTAGTTCCTCGTCGCTGTCGTCGTTCTGAACCTGCGCGTGCTCACTCTGCTCCTCCTCGGACTCGCTGTTACTGTCGCCGTAGATGCCCAGACCTACGGCATACAGAGGCCGAATTACATCCGTTTCTTACGCACGACACGGTTTTCTCGGAGTCGAAGTAGCAAAAAAGAAGAAAACAAAAAGAACATACGCTCGGCTCCGATTAATTTTCGCAGCCGCTACTTTCATCGAGAAATGTCCTGAGACAGAAAGCCAGAGAGACGGACGTCTCTCTCGCGCGGTTGCAGTGATAAATCTCTACGACCGAAACGGCTGGACAACGTTAACACGGTTAACGCCAATGTGGCGTGTGCATGCGCACAGTAACCCGTCTTTCTTTCATTTTTTTTTCTTTCGTTCTTTTTTTTCTCCGACGAGTTACTGCGCGTTGTTTCGAACTCGGCTGTTCCCTAAAGGACGCCGTCGTGCGCGTGGGTTACGCTATAAAATATTGAGCGTACTCACCGAGCTTGCGAGTGATCTGAGCAAGAGGGGCCATGTTGTTGAGGGATGCGACGGGGTTCTCTCCTGCGGGGACTTACAATACACACGCATTTAGTAACCAATCGCTAAAAGTGCAACCGCACTGAATGAATTGAATGACTCCGAATCGGCTCATTCATAGGAGCGAATCGTCCCCCTCGTCCCCTCGTTTTTTCCACTTCTCTACCTTAAGAAATCTTTACAGCATTATTTCACACTTACAAGTCGAACTACGATACTCTACGCGCAGGAAAATACATTTGCGGACGGCGATCCCTCCGCACGCGGACTGTAATAACGCGACTAGACTCATCAGCAAAACCCGACGGACGACGAAGCTTCACGGGAGACGTTAAGGACACGTATGTGAGGATTTGGATCGCAGCTAAGTTTAAGTTAATCGAAAAGCCAAATGGCAGTACATGCGTACGATGTAAGATGGATATGCGAGATATCTACTTTCAGTTATTGCATCAGAAATATCGTTGACCATTATAATAGCCAAGCACCTTAATCGAAGTAAATTCCGATTATAGAATCAGAACATTGTGTTTACGCTATGGGATAATGAATACATAATACTAGAGTTCCTTTTATATTCTAAGATAGAACGCACGCGAAATTGCATCAAAATGATCACGAAATCGGAACGGAAAAAATATGTCTTACGATACACACAAATCCCTGAAAACGCAAAAAAAGCCAACAGGATGTCCTCTGATGTTGCCTGAATAATTAAGTCTACGCATTAAGGAATGCTCCGTTTAATACTTTCAAATTCGTATTACACAATCGCACAACTTCGTTGCAGCGTGGCACGAGTAAGTTCACTGAATTGGACTCCGCGCGCCGACGAGCGAAAATACGGAAATTCAATCGGTTAGTTCTATCGTGTGTATCTGGGGTACCTTTGGTACGTGCGTGGCTCCAAACTTCTCTGCATACCGAGCCGATCTCTTCGTTCGTCACTTCCAATAGTATCTCTGTCAGCGATCTACGTACCATCAACATCTGTACAACAAAAATTACAATAACTATGTGCTGGTCTGGTAAATAATGATTGATCATATTAATAGCGCACAGATAATGGCATACAAGAGTCGTATCGACAGAGATATTAACTGAAATTAATAAAAATCCGACTTGTATACTTCTATAAACGTCGGTTGTATCAAGTTGGTTCAGAATTTTTTCCCATAGAATAAACAAATTTTATTTGTCGATATATTTCTACATTAAAATTATTTGATTAGTCTCAACACTTATTTAATGTTTACTGAAAAAAAGATTTTTTAATTAATCTGATAATTCATCAAAATTTCAGTTAACTTTCAACTAGATGACAAACGCATTCTTGTGTATCCTAGCATTAATATATAATTAGAACGGAATAGATTTTCCTTCACTTACTATGTCCTGCATAATCTCCTCCCGAGAACGCTTCGATATGACAGGAGGTGTGCTAACTGCAACTGTTGGACTCTCGTCGGCAACCGCGTGAGATTCGGGTGAGTCCGCATCTCTGAATCGTGACTTCCGTGGTCGAAGCACAATGTCAGGAGTGCGATCGTAGTTTTTTTCCGCGGCTTGCTGTCCACGTACACTACCCGTTTCAAAATCCTGTTCAGTTTCCTTCTCAGAGTCCGAATCCTATAGCAGAAAAGCAATAACAAAAATTTTTTAGTGTTCAAATCCAAAATGAATTTTGTTGTTCATCAGCAATATGTCACACTCAATGAATACATACGAATTTGCTTTTGCTGGGATTAAGCACCGCACGCGCTTCATCTTCAGCCTGCTTACGAGCCTCCAACTCTTGTTTCCTTAAAACCTCTAGTCTTTCCCTTTCTACAGCTTTCTGCTTTTCTTTTTCCATTTTCTCTAACCCTTCTCGGAGCCATGCCGGTAGCTGTCGCCGTTTTGCGGCGTCTGTATGCAAGTGACAGGAGATACACTGTCAAATTGACTAAAAAAATTTCTTATTATTTTTACCTATAGTTGTAGTGGTGTCTTCCTCTGGTGTCTTTTCTCTGTCATCTCGACATCGAGCTGGATCTATCCCTCTCATGTGAGATGCTCTGTTCATGTGCCTTATACCCTTCATGAAACCAGGTGGTTGTGGTGGTACTGTATTAGGCGACTCTCCAGACCAATAATTAGTAACCTGTAAACAACCATTACAACAAAATACTCAAATATAATATTAATGTTTAATACACGTTCAATGTAAAAATTCTATGTTCAAGGTAAAAACAGCAGAAAATTTGAGTATTTTTTTATTATTCTTTCACCTGATTATATGATTGTGCAGGAGATACTGAATTATATGAGTACATTGAAGGTGCAGGTGGAGGTGTATTAAAATCAGTAGTTGTAGATATTGTCGGAGCTGGTGGTATAACTGGTACAGTTGGAAGTCCAATTGGTTTCCCATCAGGACCTGTGACACCAGGAGGAGGCACACCGCTCCATTCCCAGCTTCCTGTGCCAGATGTTGAGCTGTTCCAGTTATCCCACTGATTCCATTGGCTCCAGGCTTCTGTTAATATTAAAATACAAACAATATCTTTAATAAATATAAACAAGATCTTTTATTATATATATATATATATATATATATATATATATATATATATACATACATATATATACATAAGAAATGTGATAAATAAAAAATATAAATGTGACAATAAAAAATGTAAATAAATAGTACAAGGAAGAAATGAAAGGTTAGTCAATTCTTCTCAATAACATAAAGTCAAAGTCATGGAATGTTTATTAGAATGGATTATTAGAAAATTACAATTTTCTTTTGCAAATTATTAATATTATATTTACAAATTATAAGTATTACATACTTTTACAAATTATAAATATTATATTTATAAATTACAATTTTATTTTCTTTCATTAATTTATACTAAGAACTTATAGATCTGTTATTCATCTTTAGTTATAAAACTACCAAAACCATATGTCTCCCCTTACCTGATCCACTGATGTTTGGAGCAGGTGGTGCAGGAGGTACATCATCGTCTTTAGTGTCCATATCCATAGGAGCCTCACCACTTCCATCATTTCCTGGACAAATAGTATTTATAGTAGGTGGCGGTGGTGCTGGAGGTACAATCGTCTCTTTCATTTTTATCCATTGTTGAGCTAGTGCTGCCCAGTCCACTAAAGGAACAATTAGTTACCACTCATGTATATGTTATACAAAATTTTAGATTATTAATAATGTAAGTACATATATACAAACCAGATTACCTTGATCGTTACTCATGTTTTGATAAGTAGAGGGATTAAGAGCCCACTGAGTTGGATAATCTTTCCCCTCAAACATTTCACCACTCATCTTCATCAACAACTCTGCAAGAGCGGGAAGAAGGGGAATAGGAAGAAAGAGGGAGAAAGATAGAAAGGGAGAAAAAGAGAGAGAGAGGGAGCAAGTGTAAAAGAGGAATCCTTATTCAGCTGTGTATTTAACCTATTGCCTGGAGGAACATATCCTAATCATTTTAATCCGCTAAAGCATACTCAAAACCATCAACGAAAACGCGACTTGTGCGACGGTAAGAGAAGCATTCCCGCGTACTTCTTAACACTCCCGCGGCGTCGATCGATGTTTTAATACGGTCTCTGCTGAATGTGTTGCGTACGTTGCGTGAAATTTATGTACAGCAGTGTTGCGAAACTCGTAATTATCAATCACTTGCTGTTTTCTCGTATGGATTGAAGTAGTCGGATTTCACCTTGGCCGAAATGATCTAAAATCAAGATGAAATTCTAGCAGCACTACCCGGGAATATTTTAGCGGAAAGGTGTCAAACATCCTACCGATTCAGCGTGATATTAGCCGCACAGTGTTCTAGGAACAGTCTTGCCATCACTGTAACATTTCCCAAATACCATTTTTATAAAATTACCACACACACGGTTAAGCTGAATAATTACATAATTTTTTCTCAAGAGCGGCAACGTAAAAAAAGGAAGTTTTACGTGAAAAATTTCACATTGGCATAATTCGGAAAGTTTTATGATCAATAATGGCTGCGTTCGCTTTGGGTGCTTAGGCCTGTTCTACAATACGTCGTATTTCGCTGCGGAGTGCAGCCGATGGGCCAATCAGAGGATTTGTTTTTCGAGACGAGTTCTTATTGGACCATCGATTGTGTTCCGACCTTTGACTATGGCTGCGTTTAGGGAGACGTTATTTAGCGTTATGAGCGTTCTCTGTCCTTGTTCAACTTTCAGGAACAAATAAGGACAGAGCACACTCATAGCGTTAAATAGCGTCTCCTCGAACGCAGTCTATAGGTGTTTACGATAAGTTGTCGGATTAGAAATCCGACTGAACAGTGGTACTCAATCGATCCATTTCAAAAAATTCCCTAGCTTAATCAGATTTTAGTAAAAGCTGTCTCAGCAGTAATCGGATTAGCTTCATAGCGACGTGAGGTGATACTTTATCCTCAAGAGAAATAAAAAGATAAAAGTCGGTAGGTACGTAATTATTATTCTAATGATTAATGCGTATCATTTTCCTTATATATCAATATATGAATAAATGATCTGTTACACTATTACTGATATTAAATTAATGAAAAGGAGTATTAGTAATCTCACGTGTGGTAAACATTAACCTATAATAATATTGGATTTATGTTATAATTTCGTATGTAACAAAATAAGAACAGTATAAAATTTGTCAAATTAACATTTCAAACATACTAATTTTAAAATATATTAAGGACATTTATGCATTTATATATAGATACATATAAATATGTGTGCTTGTATATGTATGTTTATATGTGTAATCTATAATTATTTACACACTTATATTTTTATATAAAAAGAATATTTATATTTTTATATACTACTGTGTCCAAAAAGTAAGACCAGTTTTTATTTATTTCAAAAAATATTTATTTATTCTTCCAAATCTATTTTGTCACCTTCAAAGTAATCCCCTCCCGACACAATATACTTATGCCAACGTATTTTCCAGTCCTTGAAACAAGAATTAAAATCGCCTTCCGGGATGGCTTTCAGAGCGCGTAGCAATTCACGTTGTATCTCTTCTATCGTCTCAAAACGATTTCCCCGCAGTGGTCTTTTGAGTTTCGGGAATAGCTAGAAATCACACGGTGCTAAATCAGGCGAATACGGTAGTTGTGGAACGATATGGATCGAATTTTTGGCGAAAAAGTCACGAAGAACGAGTGCAGTGTGAGAAGGTGCATTATCGTGATGCAAAAACCAAGAATTGTCTGCCCACAATTCTGGCCTCTTCTTGCGAATAGCTTCACGCAAACGACGCATAACATTCAAATAATACTCTTTGTTGACGGTTTGGCCGGGTGGAAGGAATTCTAAATAGACAACACCACGATAATCGATGAAAACTATCAACATGACCTTGATTTTCGATCGACTTTGGCGCGATCTTTTCGGTTTGGCTTCACCTTTTGCACGATATTCATTGGATTGGTCGATGGTTTCCGGGTCGTAAGCATAGATCCAAGTCTCATCTCCAGTAATAATCCGTTTCATGACCGATTGATAGTCAGAAAGCATCTCTTCACAGATCTTAATGCGACGCTCTTTTTCGAAGAAATTGAGATGTTTTGGCA